ATCTCATTTCCATCAATCAAAACAAAAACCCAGAAACCATTTTCCATTCTAAACAGAAAGATGACATTTTTATGAAGAAAAAAAACATAATCATAACGGAAACGCTGCTCTCATCCACGGCAGTCATGAAAACAAACGGCCGTGTAGGAAAGTGTCCTGAGATAAATTTCTGATTTTCATCAACTGCTAGAGATTCAGCAAGCAAATATCTTAACATCACTTGACAATTGATCAATTGCCAATCAGATCAAGTGTTGGATTGTGATATATGTATGCTTCATCCCCATCTCAAACAAATTCTGAAACTAGAAACGACAATGGAAGGAACCCAATTGAATTTGAAAACCAAAAGATTATGAAATTGAAACAAATCACGACCATTTTCTCAAGATTTCAGAACTGGGGAAGCCAAAGAGGATACTCAGTGATGGCGGTGATATTAGGTTCGATTCTGCCAGCTGATTTCCTCAATTTAAAATCAGAAGAGGGAGCGTGGATCCTCATCGTAACCTCCTTCAGAAAGCTTCCCCAATTCCAAAACCAACAGAAAATTGAAAAACGAATTGACTGAAACAAAGTACGAGGAAAAACGAGCAGATTCAGTTCAAGAGGGCAGCTAAGAGAATGAAGAAGGTGATGAGATATTGGGATTCAAGCGGCTGAGGAGAGCTCCAGGGGAATTTGACTTTATAGCAGAGTAGCTAGGGTTTTGCGTCCAACTGTTCTTCCGAGGTTCGCTCTGATGTTGGGCTCAAACAGACGGTCGGGCAAGCCCAGGCTAAGGATTTAATACGCAAACTGAAACTCCAGTTTCAGGAATAGTGGGCTTTTCTCGGCCCATCAATTCTCTCATGCGGCCCCTTGTTTTTTTGGAAGTCATGACTAGGGATGGCAATTTCGACCTAACCCGTTTTACCCGATCTGTTTGACCTGTTTTGGGGCGGGTCCGACCTCCCGTAGGTGGGGCGGGACGGGTATGAGTAGTCTTATCGACCCGACCCGCCCCATTCTCGACCCGTTCTTGTCTAAATTAAATGTAATCTTAGTCAAATTACTTAGAATTTTCCTTTTATTGCATCATATTTTAGCTATAATAAAGTTTTAAATTAGTAAAAACCTCAATTTCTCCAATAATTTAACTACAATTGTCATAATATTGTTTGTTTTCTTAGTCTTATAATAAAAATAACGAATATTTCTAATGTTTTCATATAAATTGCATACCCATTGGGTCGACCTGCCCCGACCCGTGATCAATTACCCGACCTGGACCCGACCTGCCACGGGGCGGGTCTGGGTACCAAGAAACCCGCCCCGGACCTGCCCCATTGTCATTCCTAGTCATGCCCTTTTCACTTCCTCCCGATTGCAATTGGGAGTGGACTCTTTTTTGTATGAAAGTCGACGAAAAGCGTCTAATTCATATTAATAATCGAAACGATTATGGGAGACTTTGTATTATATCATGAAGAAATTATTGTTTACGGTCAGGATCATACAGTTGAAAGTGAACTATACTGGTAGAGATGACAACGAATTGGATTGGAGGTGCATAATGTAAATCCATTGATCTATTTAGGGCTGGGAAACGGTACGGTCTGGTCCAGACCAGACCATATATACGGTCTACGGTCCAGACCGAGAGGCTAAAGTATAGACCACAGACCAGACCACAGACTATACGGTCTGGTCCAGACCACGCCTGTGCGGTCTGGTTCTGTCTGGTCTGGTCCAGATAGACCACACTCAACGAAAAATGAATAATTGTTTAGTCAATCACACAAAAAATTGAACCAATAACCAAGAAAAATAATTGTTATTTGCCTTAAAACATTATTCCTAATATGCATGAATAATTTTGATACTCTAAATCTTAGTACATAACAAAGATACAAAGTAAAAGCATCCCAGCTTGCACCATAATGTCATAAACATTAACATAATGTCATATGGAGACACGATTATCTCCACTCTGTGGTTAAATGTGGTTGTGAATGAAGGAGGGAAGAGATTCACAAAATTAAGGTTGAGACTTGGGTGTGGTTGTGGGAGTTTGGAGAGTGGTCGAATGGGCTGTTAACACGTATTGACAAGTCAGTTGGATCAACGGTTTGGTCCGGTAAACCGCGGTCTAGACCAGACCAGACCAAGAGATCAAATCATAAAATAATACAGACCATGGACCAGACCAGACCATACTTCACGGTCTATGGTCCGGACCAAACTGTGCGGTACGGTTTGGACCACGGTTTTTCTAACGGTCTGGTCTATTTTCCCAGCCCTCTATTCGATATAATTCAAGTTATACTTATATTCATGTTCATTCAAAATTAGGTAGAAAATTTATGTCGTGCTCATACTCTATTGGTTTTGGGATAATCATGGATAGTAATTTTTCTTCATAACATCAGCATAAATGTTAACAATTATACGTATAACATTAAATAAGTGAAAGGTACAACAATAAATTATAGAATGAAGAAAATTAGTTGAAGAGAACACATTTTGATGAAAATATTATATGTATATAGAAAATATCAAATATTATGAGAAGAATAAAGACCATTTTTAGATAAGTGCATACACATATGTATAATCGGAAGGGTTCGGGCTGGATATAGAGAAAAACATGTTCACCCATCACCCGCAATATTCATATTCGGGTTTTACTCAGACCCGTCATAAAATCCTCCGAGTTTGGGTTTTACCCTGCCCCGATTAAGTCGAATTCTGGCGAATATCCACATGTGTTGATACTTTTGCCATCCTTAGCCAACAGGGCATGGTTGTCATGTTGGTGGTAATGTTGGCCGGTACAACCAGATTCAACGGTACTAGTTGTAAACCTAACTAGAATATCCTCGGTACGACCGACATGATCGATTTTCGATATTTAGACAAAATGACGTCCAGTGAATTTAATACAAAAAAATGAACTATTTTTTAAAATTCAAAGTTAAATGTTGATGTCATATGTTGGGTTCAGGAATGAATGTTTAGATGTTTATGTTATCTGTTGGATTCAAGTATAAACTTATGGGTGTTATCGTTAAATGTTGTATTTAAATATGAGAATTTTTCATTTTGTTTGAAGTGTTTTATTTTATTTAAATATGGATACATATTTTAGAGAGATTGTCTTCAAAATATTTTGTATATGTGTCTTAGTTCATTTAGTCTTAATAATGTAACACTTTCCTACATATTTTGCAAAAAACTTGCATGAACTTAGATAAATCGATTAAAAATCGGCCAACTCATACCATTTGCCTAATCAACGTAATGATATAAACTGATTTGACAATAATAAGAGCATTTTCCACTATAATACAGAGCATTACTAGATACTGGACTAGTAGTACATGTAGCACACAACACAATCAAACAGAAATCATTATTGAGATGGCGACATTCGACGGGGGGAATATCCTGTTATTTTCCAGTGGTGTACATAATTTGTTGTTGTACATTATATCCACAAAATCTTTGTTTGGGTATGAGTTTAGATTGATCTTCTGTTCTTTTCAACTCAAACCATTTATCCAAAATCGAAATCATGCATGCATCTGAAAAGTGGGTCAATGCCCAAAGCAAAGGTTAAATGTTCAATAAATGAGCACTTCTCTGTCAGTACCCCCACCCTCAGCTCGGGAGTAGATGGTGTATGTAAAGAAATTCCATTAATACGATATTTTATGTTGAAATTGTGATCTAATTATTTTATATTATTAAAATTATGTATTGGTTCGAATTTTAATAATGATGTTTTTCGGTTGAACCGTTATTATGATATGATTTTGTAAATATGGAACATAATGCCAAGATGAGGAACCATAAATGTCCTAGTCCGAGCTTGTACAAAAGTTTGAACAATCTCAAGAGTTGATCTAGTGGTAAATGGTCATGTGGTAAATGGAAATCATGCATGCATCGAATATGTACGATTGCGGGTTTGATTGTCATCTCCAAGTTCCAGCTTTTTTTTTTTTTTTTTTTTTTGACAATAGGAACACTTATATTGCTCATCAAATGAAATCGGTTACAATGAGTGGAGAACATCCAGAGAAATGGAACAAGAAAGAACAGCAACAAACAGCCAGCGGAGCTCGCCAAGACAACGAAGGAAAAGATCGGGACAGAGGAAAGCAAAACAAGATCCAACCAGCCAAAGACATTCCTTTCTTGAACCATAAAACAGAGCATCCAAACCAACTCAATGCTTCCTCATTCATCAGAAAAGCTCAAAGAAACAGCTTCAGCTCGTCCAATACAGGCTTGACCATGGCAATTGAACATTGCAACACCATATGCCGCCTCCTGGGAGTTGTTCGAAGACGACCCATCACAGTGAACCACCGAAGAGATTACATGGCGGTGGACAGGACTGTACGAGATTTCTCGGAGCTGAAACAAAGGCAAGGGAGTCGGCAGCAGAGGAAATCATGACAAAACAGAGTAAGATTGCACCAAGGGTTGAGAAGAGCCCACAAAAAACCACAAGAAAAGAGACCACCAACAAGATCCGCACCTGCAGAAACACAAAGCCAAAAGAGACCACCCCAAACCCAGAAAACAACCAAAGAAGCAACACCCACCAACCCCAACCACCCACAAACACAAAAACAGATCAACCCAAAGTAGAACCCCAAACTCAAAGAGTCAAGAACCCCCACCACGACATTCGGAAGAGACAAAGCAACCCAAATCAGATGATCGACAAGGCTGCAAAAATCATGAAAACGCTAGCGACATCTGAGGGGAAACGATGAATGCGATCACTACTAGGATGATCACACCAAGAAGGAGGAATCTCCGCCTCGGAACAAGCAGAAACTCCCCAAAAAGCATCTTCCGAACCCAGAACAGAACAAGGCGACCAGTAAAAGAGAAAAACAGATCTGAACCGGACAAAAGCATCACTCCAAGTTCCAGCTGAATGTAGTAATTTCTGTTCACTTCCAAGTTCCAACCCATTAAGCTGTCACAGTTAAAAAAAAAAACCATGGTCCTTTGGTCCTGAAGAATTTCCCTGGACCACAATGATATGAATCATCTACTGTCACTCTGTCAGAGAGTTTGTGACTAACAGTAGTAGAAGATCCTATTTTAAGAGAACGGAAGAGATGCTCTGCTTGGCCTTTTTGGGTCTGGTTCGTCGTCGGCATTCTGCACTTTCCCCCTTTTCCTCACTTTCGTTGGTTACTCCTTCCTTCATTCCTTAGCTCAGCTCCCTCCCCACTTCCTCTTCTTACTTTGCCGGCGGCCAAAGATGGTTTCTTTGGCCCGGGCTCTGGCGGTTTCCTACCCCGCCGGATTCCCCTGCACCAGCTCTCACGCGCCTCCTCGCCGGTGGAGCTCCGGCCGGTTAATTACTCGGCCGGATCACAATTCGAGGTTCAGATGGCGATCCAAGGCGGCGGAATCCGATACCACTCCTCCTCCTCCTCCTCCTAATTCTCTGCCTTCGACTTTCGCCGCTTCCGTTGACGCCGCCGACTCTGCTGCTGCTGGGTACTTTCCCCTTCCCTTGTAAATTCTGCTCCTCCGGCGGTCGGTTTAGTACCGTTGACTTGACTGATTGAATTGGGGTTTGCAGATTTTGCATCATAGAAGGGCCGGAGACGGTGCAGGACTTCGACAAGATGGAATTGCAGGAGATTCAGGACAACATTCGGAGCCGGAGGAACAAGATCTTCCTGCACATGGAGGAGGTAAAGCTGAATTAAATTTGAAAATACTCGCGCCGCGATTAAATTGGGAAGAATTGGTATTTCAATCGGGTAAAAACTACAAAGTCCGGCGGCTGAGGATACAGCAGCGGATCAACCGCGCTGAAGTTGGGAAACCGGAGGCCGACCTCCCCGATTTCCCTTCTTTCATCCCCTTCTTGCCTCCTCTGGTAAAAATCAAAGATTCTCGCTCTTCTCCTGTTAACAATCACAAGGGCAGGAAATGTGACCCCAACTGTTCGCTTGCTTGTGACATGGTGGTACTAAAATACAAACAGACTGCAGCAAACCTTAAGGTGTATTATGGCACTTGCTTTACTCTCATCTCCGGGATCATAATCTTCGGCGGCCTCTTAGCCCCAGCTGTAAGACACTTTAACTCTGCTACCCATTGATTCTCAATCCTTAAAAACTTGTTGCTGTGTCTCATTTTTTTCCTAACACATGTTCAGCTGGAGCTGAAGCTGGGATTAGGAGGCACCACATATGCTGATTTTATTACCAGTATGCATCTGCCAATGCAGTTGAGGTATATAGTAATCCGCTTGTTGCGAAACTTTCCTTAATTGGAGAGGAGGATTAGTCCTATGACGCGATCATTGTATCTTGTGGGAAAATGTTGCAGTCAGGTGGATCCGATCGTGGCATCGTTCTCCGGTGGAGCGGTTGGAGTGATCTCGGCATTGATGGTGGTGGAAGTGAACAATGTGAAGCAGCAGGAGCACAAGAGATGCAAATACTGTATTGGTACTGGTATGTATTTCTTCAACCATTCTGCACACCATGTATATGCTTGAGTTGCCCCTGACAAATGGATCGAAACCCCGCCTACTAGGGTATCTTGCTTGTGCTCGATGTGCAAACACCGGAACCCTCGTCCTAATCGAACCAGTTTCGACCACAGTCGAAGGGGAAAGACCGCTGTCGGTACCCAAAACGGAAAGGTGCCCGAATTGCTCCGGGTCGGGGAAAGTGATGTGCCCTACGTGCCTATGCACTGGTATGGCTATGGCGAGCGAGCACGACCCGCGAATCGACCCGTTCGATTGAAGAATGTGAGGGTTGTATGGCAAGAATGTGGTGTTGTATTCATTTATCTGTTGGCTGTTGCTATGTGCGCCCATCTCGACGAATAGCCGAGCTGAAACAGGTATTGTTGTTGTAAAGATGACTAATTAATAAAGTGGTCTCTCTTTTCCTCTTTGTGTTTCAAAGGGGTTTTCAGCTGGAAAAAGTGGATAGGAATGTTGGCTGTTGGTGTTGGGTCAAGTTCTGGAACTGTGCGGGGGATCATGGTCCAGTGTAAAGTTAGTTGGGCCACAGAACATTCCATTTCGAGGATTTTTTTTTTCTCTCCAGAAATAAACATTTAACAATAATCCGAAATAGCACTACTACACAACAATTTCTCAATATAGTTGGGTTTTTTTGGGTGAAATAGTTGGATTTTTGCTTAGTTGGAAGGTAAATGTCTCCATTTAAACGGGTGATAAAAGAGTATATCTCCGCTCAATAAAAGCGACATAAGATATATCGCTTTCCGAACCGGTTATATTCTGCTAACGTGATTATGTTACTTTCGTTGCAGATTATGAATAAGATTTAGATTACAGACTAGAATTTAGATTTTATGTTAACTTAGGTGTATAACAAAGATCTTTTCATGAATTGGGGTTAGAATAATATCAAACATACCGTATGTGTTCTAACTAGTTCTTTTAAATTATAAATGTGGTTCGAAAATTCACATTTTGTATTCGTTGGGACGGTGAATTGATGAATTTGACGAAAAGGATTGATATCAAGGTTGTCAATCTAAGCAGATGACTAATCCAGGAAAAATTACATGGTGTGAACTCTCAAATATAACAACTGGAGAAATGCATTAGGAATCATTGAACAATATCTCAAATGACCTATTGGATAAAAGCTATGGTATTCAACATCCTTCAACATGTTGAATTCTTACTTATAGACGATGAAAGCACGAATATTGTTTGAATTTTGGAAAGAAAATTGTGATATTGAAATGATTAAGGTGTATGTGGAGTTTGAAGACGTGGATAGGGGGAGGTTATCCTTCTTGGGTTAGGGATGATAATAGGACGGGTTGGATTGGATTTTGCCAAACCCAACCCATGGGGTTATCCATAAAAAAACCCGGGATAAAATCCATTGGGTTTGGAAAACTCAAACCTAACCGAACCCGCTGGGTATCCGCAGGTTCATGGGTACCCATGGATTTTTGTGGTAAAAAATTTACAATAACACGTTCCTATCAAAATAAAATTCAAACATCAATTTCCATACACAAATTGTCCATACATAAAACTCCATTCTAGAAAATTCAAACATATCCCAATTACACTAAATAAATTCACAAGGAATAAGTGTAGTAAGCATTAGAATTAGGATAGGGATTGGGGAGAGTAGGGCGACTAAATAAGCGTGGATGGGTATCCATGGGTCGGGTACCCCTAAACCCAAACCCAACCCGATGAATAGTGCACGGGTTTAAACTCAAACCCAGCCCGAAACCAGTCAACGCGGGGTTTACCCGCGTTGACTGGGTTGGGTCGGGTAGGGTATGCGTAATATCATACTTGAAAATGGTTCTTTTGCAACTGCAGAACTATGTAACCCAAGTGAGGTCATTTGGCCAAAGCAAGTTCCACAACAACAGGGGTCATTTAAAATTATAAGACATCCAGGGGATGGTAAATCGTAAATGGGTAGATTTCTAAACTTACGCTCGAGTGAGCAATAGATTAGCAGCAGCAGACAGATAGATTTACATCACAACTTCACAAGGATTTATACTGTTCAATCAAACGGCAGGCATGAAGCCGTGATGTTGGAGACGTGGTGCATCCCAAGTTCTGCAGATACGCAATCTGCACACAAACAAAGTTTCAAAAGAATGTTCATCTGGTTAGAAGAAGACGGAGATAAGCAATCTACAAACGTTGGAAGGAGTCGTTTAGATGGAAATCCAGGGGAAATGGTAAATATTTCACCTGCTTAGGTGTGGGTGCAGATGTACTCATGGACTTCTCGATCCTCAATTTCTGGAAATGCTCCTGCAAAATAAGCTCATGTTAGCCGATGATCGCTCGTAAGTCATAATCAACCGCGCCATTCTAGAGTATGATGATAAGAGCTGCAAGAAAGGATGCTGCATTTGAAACCTGTTTCTCTCGCATAATATGAGCCCGCTTGTCAGCTGGAATCTTCTCCCATCTTAGAACCTACTCAAGAGTGAACCAACCCAGAATATTAAACACCGGGCGTAATGCACAGAGCATCTCATCTGGAAAGATAACTAATTTACAAGCCTTACATATTCTGCATACTGAAATGCTTCGTCGCTGCTCAAACAAGATTTCAAGCCTTGCAAAACATCCTGAAACAAAGAGGAACTAGTGAGTTTGAGACTATATATATGCTTGTATTGTACGGAACGTTCAGAGTACATTAAGGTGGCAAGCCTGACCTTGTGCTTGGTTTTCTTCACCCTCAAGCGTTCATCAATCACAAATCCCACCTGTAAATCGTAGTGTGTTTGACAGATTTCCTAGTTACCACACTACTCCTGATAATAGACAACAAAAAAGGCTGTACCTTGTCAAGTAACCTTTTGGGAGTTTGAAAGGCTTGCTTCTTTGCCCATTGATGGAATATGTGGGAAACCACTGACCTGTCCTCCACAGCAAATCTACAATATGCATTACTTTGCCAAGTCAATATGCAGGGAAGTTATAAAGTCGGATAATTATTTTTGGTTTCTTGTTTCGAAGGAGTTGGGAGTGGAGACCTCTTTATGAACCCATTTGAATTGTAAGCTTCAATTGCTTCCATCGTCTCCTCCAAAGCTGAATCAGTTTGAATCTTATCACAGGGTTTGTCTGATTTCATGTCAAATTCAAAACTTCCTTTCTCAATTGTAATGCCATCAGCAGAGTTGCCGGAGACTTTCGGGATTCTAGGACATTTTGGTTCTAAGTCCTGAAGACAGACATCTGCCTGTCATCAAAGCGTCCCAATTCTGAGACAGTCAGTATACCTAATAGATCAATAAAACTGTCCACTTCCGACAGGTAAATTCAACCGCACCTGAATCTCCCGAAGATGATTCGGAATTTCCCTGAGAAACCGGGATGGTTGCAGCATCTGGTAAGAGTCCCTACTGTGAGTTGAGAGCAACAAGTTGACAGATATGCTGGAAAACAGTTGGTGAAAAATCAAACCTGCCAATTGGAATCCACTGTGACGTAAAGAATGAAGAGCTTCTTTCTGGCACGAGTCATTGCCACATATAACAGACGGCGTTCCTCCTACAACATATTATATAGATTGCCAATCGAGTTGATATTTCTGTCAGTGAGCAACAGACACACAACAGCCTTAAGATGAGTTCACTTACTTCGATTGAATTGCCATGTTCCTTTGCAACGCCATTGTATTCATACAACAAAGGGATTTCTGAATCATTTGCCTGTGATCAGCACAAGCATTATTGCCAAAAATTTACCCATTTTGAGTATTAAAATTCTTGACCCCAAAACTATTATGAATTTATGATATCAGACTGTACCTTTATTATGAAAACCACGTCCCATTCTAACCCTTTTGACTGCACAAGAAAATTATGAGAAATTAAACAAGAAACTCAGAAGAGATCGCATTCGGTGAAGAGGGACGTAGGAAGGCTGGAATGTTGATGACTCACCTGATGAATAGTGGTCAAGGTAACAGAATTGTTATTATCTTGTCTCCGAGAGCGGAAGTTTTCTTTCTCCCGCTCTGCTACGTACTCGAGAAATGCTTTCAGCTGCTTAGCACAACCCTTCTCTAACATCGTATTGTCACTGCTCCCTTCTTTTTTAGCAATTGGTGTGGACATGAAATCAGTAACATCATCCAGCAAGTACTGAAGAACCTGTCAAATATGAAATCAGAATGGTAACTACTTCAAATCAAACGTCAAGAAGTGAATTACACGAGCCTTTCGTTCATATTTAAAAGTGGAATTGAAAGCTGCGCCACTGAGGACCAATAATGAACATAAAGAGTCATCTCTGTCTTACTAATTGAAACAGCAGTTTTGTTGAATAATTCAAGTTACTGGAAAACGTGTTCTAAGATAGATAATAAGATATCCAACATACAGACTTGCTTAATCGGTCAAACAAGAATGAAATACTTACAGATCGCATATCATTGTCTTCATTCAGCAATTTTCCCCCGTCAACATCTACCACCGCCCTTTGCTCTAGAAGGTACTTCTACAAATGTCACATCAATGGGCAAAAATTGTCATGCCTCTGAGGTGATATCAGACAATTTTAGTCAAATATAGTCATTGCTCAAGCCGACTGGGAGGGTGGACGAGAAGGTACAAACCTGAGGTACCATGTTAGCTGCTGAAGTTATGACAGCTGAAATTGACTGTTCCTGAAAATCAAGCAGAAACCGTGTCAATGTGACCTTTGTTAAAAGTGACAAAAGATCCCTTGCACAGACATACAGCCTAGCTTTTGAGAAACTATCCTGTGAGGAACAAATGTGCTTACCCTATGAATGAGTTTGGATATCATCTCTAGAGTTGTTAACACCTTACGTCCCTGGGTGAGTTGGCTCCTACAGAAATTATACAATTGACCATGTCAGCATATTATGAGAGGTTTAAAAGGGTAGGGGAGCAATCTTATGTGCCACTAGACTTGGATCATCTAGGAGTTAAAATCAATAAATTTTACGGAAGTGAGAACCTCTTAAAGGTACCGGAAACCTTGGCAGTAAAGATGTCACGGGCTGCAGATACAAAGGGGCATTTTCTGGTGATTGATATTTTGTCAATGTGACCAATAACCTGTAGATGGCCGAGCATACTATGAAAAATCAACCACTGAGAGATAGCATCCTTTTAATACTCGAATGATCATAAGCCCAAGAGTGAAATGAGCCAAATGGTACCATCTTTTTTTCTTCCTTGTCAAAAGGAAGCAAAGCCTTGAAGACTTGCCGATATGCCCCATCATCATCACAACCAGGTATTGTGGTCCTCAGCATAGCAATAATGGCCTTGACTACCTGTTGACCAAGGAGAGAGAAGGTCTTCAGCCAGAATAAGAGTATCACCAGGAGTTCCCTTATGAACGCAGTACAGGACTCAAGAAATGAAATTGAGTATGGCAAGATGGGACAACCTTTTTCCTGTAGAAGGCCACGCCATGAACATTAAATGGTATTTTCCTGTCACGAAATGCTATTTGGAATGGTTTTCCTGATACCTGGCATATAGAAAATGGACCTGATAAATGTAGCCAGTAGCTAGTTGTTATTAGTAAATTCATTGTATTGCTTTGGCAAGGAAGCTTCACCTGTCTCCGGTAAAGAATGGCTATATTTCCATAAGAAGGCTTGTCAGATGTGGCCTCCGATACAGTTTCCACTATTTTGTCAACAACAAAATTACATTGTGCTTCATCATTCTGACATTCCTTTATGATCACCTGAGCATTGTCAAAAGGATGGGAAGGTTAATGGCAGTCTTGAATCAGAAATGAAAGAATGAATGCTATAACTATCTGCTTAGAAACCCTTGCATATTGATTGCCTTAGATCCGGAAGAATTGTCGGTTAGGATATCCTTAAGTTGGCAACGTCTGAT